GAAACACAAGAAAAACCTATTATCAAAATACATTTACTTTTTATACACAAAACAGATTAAGATTAACATAACACACCAACCTGAAAAGATGAAGCTCATGTATCACAAACATGAATTCAATCTGCTAAACTCAAAGTAAACTCCATTGATGTCACTCAAGTAGCACTTGAGAATCAGTTTGCAGAAGAAGACACCTGAGCATCAGTGACCTCCTGATTATTCTGAACCATCCAGACCGCTCAGGTGGTCTGGACAGGTCTCTCTCTGTCCCCAGAGCAACCAAACATGGAGAAGCAGTGTTCAGTTCTATGCTCCTTATATCTGGAACAAACTCCCAAAAACTGCAGGTCTGCTGAAACTCTCAGCTCTTTAAATCCAGGTTGAAGACTCACCTGTTTACAGCTGCCTTTCATTAAACAGCTTTAATAAGATTTTAAACTTTTGCTCTGTAACTTTTAACTCTTTTTATATTTTTACTTTTTTAATTTCAATTAATTCATTTGAATTATTTTTATTTGAACATATTTTCAGATTTAATATATCAGTGATTTTTTAAATGTTCTATTTAATGTTTTTCTTTCCTCTGTCATGATACTTTTTGATGTCTTGTGTGAATCACTTTGAATAACCTTGTTGTTGAAAGGCTACATAAATAAACTCACCTTGCCTTAGGTTTGAAGCTGCTTAGAGACCTAGGAGGCCAGAAACTGCAGGAAGCGACCAAAGCTGCAGAGAAAACCCAATGGCTATGATGAAGATGCAAGACCTCTGCTGGGACCCAAAGTAGCAGTCCAGGTTGACAATAGGGGATGTTTTCTGGACACCGAGGGCGCTGTTGAGCCCTCCTGAGACGTCTCAGCTCAAAAACAAAACACTGAGGAAGGAGAGTGCCCACTTGAAAACCCCTCGTGTCTACATTCATCAGCAGGGTACTCTCTCTTACTAGGTGCTTGCACATGAAGGTTTTTTTTTTCTTTTGCTTCTCATCCAAAACAACATGAACACTTTTTGATGGTAGTGTTTGAATTGTTACATCAGTGTGTATTGTTTTGGTTAAATGAATCAGTTTAGAGAAGAGGGACATGTTTTAGCTTTGCTTCACTTTGTAAGACATTTGTAGAGTTTCACAAAGTAGTTCACTCTTTTTTTGTCTCTGAGTGTTGAGAAATTGGGTGACAGTTTATGGAAATGTGTTTAAAAGTTTGGGGATAACTGCACTTGAGATAGCCCTGTTGTAATTCAGTTATTTCAGGAGCTGCACGTTCCTTCTCCTTTCGTCGTGTTTACTAGTTTGCAGCTTCCGGTTTGTTTTTGGTGAGGCTGCTCCTATTGGCTGAACAGTGAACGTCATCGAACGGCACGTTTGGCAGTTGGTGCATTCAGGGTGTCAGGCACATCGGAAAAACGATACCCGAGTTGTAAAATGCACATGAACACCTGCTCAAGTCGGAACAACAACTCGGAAACTCGGAAAAGAAGGAGGTGCTCGTTTTGAGCACGATGACTTGACGTCACAATCGTCATCACAAAATGTTTTCTTTTTTAATGTTAACATAGGCTACTTTTTATTAATTCACGTAGGCCTATTGCACATCAACTTTAAATCTATATTTATATATATAAAACTTGTAAGCACCTGGTTTAAAACTGTAAAAATGAATTACATGTGTCACTTGTTTGTCTTTCATTTGAAAGACAGCTCAGTAGGCATCATAGATTGAGTTGAGCCTCTCCATGTACTCGCTCTTCCGCTTGTTATTTGTCCTCCTGTCTGTACCACTTTGCTGTTGAGGGATCGCATGGGTTTTTTTTTTTGGAAAAAAAATAAAACAAAGTTGAGTGTTTTTTAAGCGTGATAAAAAAGAGAAAAGTTGTTTCTTAACAGATGACAGTTCTTCTGACCTCTCCAGCTGACTGCTGGTGAAACTGGTCCTGGACTGGGTTCTGGTCTGCTGTCTTGGCCTTACATTTCCTGCAGAAATTAAAACAGTTGCAATAATGAAAATCCACCTTATTGTACCTTCTGTTGTTTCAAATGTTTTATTGGTATTATTAGTACACTTTGGATTAGTTTATCTGTTTTAAAGGCACCTCTGAGTTAGTCCACTTATAACTAGTTTGTTACTGTAGGTTTCCACTGAATGAAGCCGTATAGATTGATGCTACAAAAAATCCCCTCTTCTGTAATCCACATCCAAAACATCCACAGGACCATTAGATAAAAGTTTAAGTGTTTACTTTGACAAAAAAAATAAACAAAAACAGATACAGAATTATCCAAATGATAAACAAGAGAGAAACAGAGAGAGGTCGAACGTGTGGCTTCACTCTCTGCTAGTCTCAACTAAACCCAATTAACTCCACAAACTCCTCTCTCCCCAGATCCAATGAACTTAAACTGTTTCAATTACAGGTGGCAAAGAACATGCGTTTTCCACTCACAAGATATGTCAGAATCAGAATCAGAATCAGAATCAGAATCAGAATCAGAATCAATCAGAATCTGGGTTATTGCCAAGCACATTTACACATACAAGGAATTTGACTTGGTGTATTGGTGCTAAACAATTAACAAGGAAATAAAGCAGAACTAACAACAACTTAAATAATACTGTTGGGGTTGTATCAAGTCAACTTTGGTTATATTCTTTAATAATTATACTTAATTATTAATAATATAAATAAAATATCATTAAACTATGTTTAATCTCGTTTTGGGGCACCAACCTGTAATCAGGTAAATATAACCAAAATATCACTCAAATCAGTCTCAAATTAGTTATTTAATTACTAATATTATTAATAATGAATAACTATATTTAATAAATTGAAGGCGTGAAATCCGTACACAAAGCCTTCGCACCCAGCTTATATCACAATGTAAATACACCAGTAACCACAAACAACTGCTCTCTTAAATTATAACAGAATTTATTTAAACAAAGCAACATCAATCCAAAATCAATGAACTTAATTAAACAAATAACTATTATAAACTAATCTAAGCAACAAACATTATCAAGCAAAGGCTTGTGGAAGGGTGTGAATGTAGTGTGTGTGTGTGTGTGTGTGTGAGAGAGAGAGAGAGAGAGAGAGAGGGAAGAAGAAAGGGGGGAGATGGCTTCGTACCCTCGTGGTCGTTCACGATGGCGCAAACCTAACAAAGACCTGGGTGCGTGCCGTGTGGATGAAAGGGAGAGAAAGGGGGGGAAGATTACTTCGTCCCACGTGGTCGCCCTTCCGATGGCACACACCTAACAAAGGCCTAAATGTGGCCTTAAGGTCTAAAAGAGACTGAGTTCGGCCCTACACATCTGTGTCTCTGAGGCGTCTGGATAGCCGCGAGTGTATAGATCTCTGTGCGTAATGGCGCGGTGGTGGAGTTGGTCTCCAGATGTACGTTTACACAGGAATATGTGTGTATGTGTGTGCGTAGAAGGGGAAATAAAAGAGAATAAAAGAGAAATGCGTGCCTGAAGAGGCCGGATCACAGTCCGACTCCCGCGCCACAACTCGGAGTAATTCCCTTCATTCACAGAAACAAACCAATAGCCGAATTCAGGTTAATACAGCTTACACTGGCCTTTCTGATCAGAAGAGTAATACCCGGTTATAACGCTGTTACGCTAAACACATATAGGACGCAGCGGTCCGAAACAACAAGAGTTTTAAACAGTTAAAACTCAGGACGCAGGTCCAACAAAGATAAAAATTACAGTTTCTGCTTTGATCAACAATTGTTAAAAACACTCTCTAAAGCTAATTCTGCCCAGACCTAATTAAGCCTCACTTGTGAATCGCTTTGTCCGCGATTGGTGAAAGGAAAAGAGTCCGGCGATGGAGCAGATCTTCTGTCCGTCCTGGTGCAGAGGCGTCTGATGGCGGCGAGGGTCCCTTACGGCGAGAGCGGCTTCGTTGGTTCTCCGTCGAGTGGAAAGATGTCCTTTGATGTCCTTTCGTTGCAGGACGGAATAAGACCGTTATCTTTCTGATAATCTGTTATAGTCTGACGCTCTCCGAGAAACTGAGATGCGTTCACTGGACAATCCGAGCTCGGAATTTAGAACACTGCCGGCCGCGGATTACCTGCGCGCCAAAACTTAAAACAAAGGAAGATTGTTGCAGGAAACAGGAGATCTTCTTGGGTCTCCGAGCACCGAAGGTCAGCGCGTGAAAGAGAGCGAGCAATGGAAGTCTTGGAGTTTTGTAGCCTGGCCTGCTCCATGGGGGTCTACCTCAGGTCCCCTCCAATGAGGAGAGAGAGGTTCCGGTCCCCCCTTTACTTCACACGTAGGTGTGAAGTACCGCAGGGGATTCTGGGATTAAGAGTCCTTTTAGGCCTCTTTGTGATCTCAGTGAATAACTCAAATGAGGCTTTTACAGAGGTGCAGGCCCAAGTCCATTGTTGACTGTTCTAAGCCTGCGTGGCCCAACATCCCCCCTTTGTCCTGAAGAATGGGATTGCGGGTCGCGGTCTTTAGGGCAAATAGGGCCAACAGTCCATGTGTAGGAGACAAATTTCAAATAGTTAGTGAGCAAAAGTCCATACATTTTGAGAGGCATTCGGTCTGGGCAGACACTGAGGCAAAGTCTGGGCAGACTGTCTAACTATGTCTAAAGCTAGGCATAAAACATAACCAGGCATTAGCAAAGCTTTGCTACTCAAGGTGCATTCTTTAACAAAACAAATGAAACAAACAGACAAGAGGAAGGGAGAAAGAGAAGAGTATAAGGTGTAGGTTTGTGGGCTAACTCCTAGCCTGGGCAGGAGTAAGCCTGTGGGAAGGTGTTTGTGGCGTGTAGGTGTGTAAATGTACATTATGTGTCTCCCTACCAATGTCAAAACACAAAACAGGGACTAGGAAACATTCATGTCGGTAGAGTGACATTGTTGTGTTTCTACAATGGAGGCTACACCCCCACTCCTATGTGGAGTCAGAATCGGGTTCTCTGTAAGCGAGGGAGTCCTTAGGGAGCTCGTAGGAACTCCGATTATACCTACCCTTCTGTCTCAGACTACGGCCATCCCGAGAGTTCCGTTCGGATCTGGTAGCGATCAGTTCTCCAGGCTGGAACCTACTCTGTGGTTGAGTCCCACCTTCACCCCCCTGGCTCTGTTCTCTATTCTGCCGGTGATATGGTCTCTTATTCTTAGCACAAGGCAACTTGTTGCCCTCACGTGACACGTGACGTAAGCGTGTCTGCCAAACCGCCTGTGCGAATCTCTTGATCTCTTTCATACTAAGCTGATGTGTACGACTATGCAGGGTGACATCTGAACGCACGCAGCCATGCAGATTGTGCATGAAGATGGACTTGAAAGTTGGGTTCTCTTCCAAACCTGGAGCCTTACGTCCCTGGAAATATGCAGATCTAAGTCGCCAGTAATAATCTTTGGGGGCCTCGTGCTTCTGATGCAAGACACTGAAAGCACTAAGAAGGGCAGATGCAGGGTCAATGTAGGTGGAGTATTCCTGGCGCAAAGCATTGCAGAGCGCAGAGTACTGGTATCTGATCTCAGGCTGAAGGGTAGTCGTGAAGTTACGGACACTCTTGGAAGTTGTCTTCCAGATCAGCCTGAGTTTTTCTCTTGTGGATGCATCAGGTACCTCACTGAGACACAGGTTAATCTCTCTGAGGTAATCATCGATGCAGAGGTCTGAGTTATCTGGATCAAACCGCTCTACATCCTGTGCCATAGATTCAATGAGCCTTATGCGCATTCTTTGATCTCTGGGTAGAAGGGAGCCATCCCAGTCATCTGAGGTTTGGATATTCCTCAGCCGTGAATCCTGCAATGGGAACCTACAGGTAGCAGGAGGGGGCCTGGTGTTATCTCTGCCTCTGGGGCTGAGAAGTCACCCCCCTTCCTATGTGGTGATTCAAACCTGTGAAGGTGTGAAAGGGTGTCACAGTTGTCAGAGAACTGGGGCGTTTCCCCAAGGAGCGGGGCTCCACAGTCAAAATCAGGGAAAACTAGACTTATTTCCTCAGTCCTTGGGTTATCCTGGCTGCTCGGTTCTTTACTGAGCTTTTTCAGCAGGGTTGTTTGATCTCTTAAGGGGCTTGGTCCAGGATCAGAGTCATATCCTGACGATGTGTCTTGCTCCATGCTTACCTGTGCTCCCTGAATTAATTCAAGCATGTCCAACACTTTCTGCTTGGCAGTTTGTAAGTGCTGATTAACAGATTTGTTTCCTTTCTGCAAGGATCGGACCTTTGGTGGGAGTGTCCCCATGAAATCACGGACACTCCTAGCCGTAGTCTTCCAGATCCGTTTCAGTTTTTCATGTGAGGACGCATGAGGCAGGTCAAGGAGACAATGGTCAACTTCTCTAAGGTAATCGTTAATACTTGAATCTGGGCTATCTGGGTCAAAACGCTTCAGATCTTTGGCCTGAGGTTCTATCTGCCTGGTTCGCAGGCCCTGACCCGAAGGCTGGCGAGGGTCGTCCGATTCGTCTGATGAATCGTAAGCCCTGTGGTTGTCACGGTAGTAGGGTTGTAACCGTGGCGGGGTTTGTGTTCGGCTCAGACGTGGCCGTCTATCGTGGGACAGGTAGCGTTCGGTGCCCAATTGGGCCCGTGTCTCCTCCCTGTCTCTAGGGGGAGTAAAGCCTCTCCTCCTGCGGGGTGAGGGTTCTCTTCGCTCAAAGCGTATTGCGGAACGCGGGGCCCTTCATCTTTAATCATCCAGCTCTTTACCGGGTGGTCTGAGGACGTGGGCGCTTTTGTGCCTGGGTCGACCCGGCGGTGCCTTCCCCTCTCCTCCAGATCCTGCAACATGTCTGTCTCCCTCCTCCAGGGGCTTGTTCAGTCTCCCATCCTTCGTCTGAGGTTTCCTCAGCTGATCTGGGGCTGCAGTACTTATCTGCCTATCCTGAAATCTGGGTACCGTGTCACTTCGTTTCTCTGTTCGGCCAGTTTGCTGCTTTCATGCAGTGTTTTATTCTCCTCCTGCAGGGCCTTGCAATTTTCCTGCAAGGTCTTTAGTTTATCCTGCATTCTTTCGAAGTCGTCCCGCAGGATCTGTCCTTCTTCTAGTACCCGGGCTAGCTGTTCCCGGTGTATCTCATTCTGCACATTTGATTTGCGCTGATAAAGGAGGAGAATTTCGCCTAGAACATCTGAAACTGTACGTGTTGGCTTCCCAGTTGGTTGATTTGCATATTCAACCAAGCCCTTTAGTTCTTTTCACATGTGCTGAGGGTGTAGGAGTTCAGGCTGTCGAGCTGCTCTATAGGGAGGTGGATAAGATTAGCAACTACGTCTTGAAGGGGTGGATCGTCTGATCCATAGTGAGCTTTGGCCCATAGTTGATGTATGTCTTCTGCATACATTCTGTCTTTATTAGGGGTGAGCCTGGCTCTGTGGTTGACAAGATCAACTAGCTCTTCTAACTTCTTATCACTAATGCTAATTGACTAGCTATATAGGTTGCACTCTCCTCTAAGGAGAGGTTCGTCAGACCGGCAGCAGTTTCTTGCAGTGCTGCGTCGTCTGATCCAAAAGGAGTCTCAGCCCCCGACTCACCTAGGGTCTTGGTACACAAGAGCAAATCTTATCTAAGTTTCCCAACTGATCACTGCAGTCTATCCTGGAAGATAGGAGAGGGGATTCACACCTCAAGTCCTCAAAGGAAGGGAGGAACTCACACCTCTCAGACAGCTGGCTATGCAACAATGATGAGGTTACACTCTCATCTGGCCAAATGGCTCTCAAACAACAAGGAGCACCACAATCCTTTAGTAGAATACTTCAGGATCAAAATCTAGATTAATGCAACAAATCAAGTTCCTTGATAAAGTCACACTAGCTGCATCATTATGTCCAATTGTTGTATGGACCCAAAGGGGACAACAGTTATGGCTTTAACCATTAACTAACAACATACAACACAACTAAGCCACAGCTTGATGTCTGCTTTGCTTAAACCACAAAAATTTAAAGAAAATATAATTTTCTTCCGAAGGATCCTTTTTAGGATTTTAAGTTTGGATTACTGTGCATTTACAGTGCAATAAAGCTGGTTTATTGAAGACCTCACACGGGGCACCATTTGTTGGGGTTGTATCAAGTCAACTTTGGTTATATTCTTTAATAATTATACTTAATTATTAATAATATAAATAAAATATCATTAAACTATGTTTAATCTCGTTTTGGGGCACCAACCTGTAATCAGGTAAATATAACCAAAATATCACTCAAATCAGTCTCAAATTAGTTATTTAATTACTAATATTATTAATAATGAATAACTATATTTAATAAATTGAAGGCGTGAAATCCGTACACAAAGCCTTCGCACCCAGCTTATATCACAAAATGTAAATACACCAGTAACCACAAACAACTGCTCTCTTAAATTATAACAGAATTTATTTAAACAAAGCAACATCAATCCAAAATCAATGAACTTAATTAAACAAATAACTATTATAAACTAATCTAAGCAACAAACATTATCAAGCAAAGGCTTGTGGAAGGGGTGTGAATGTAGGTGTGTGTGTGTGTGTGTGTGTGTGTGAGAGAGAGAGAGAGAGAGAGAGAGAGAGAGGGAAGAAGAAAGGGGGGAGATGGCTTCGTACCCTCGTGGTCGTTCACGATGGCGCAAACCTAACAAAGACCTGGGTGCGTGCGTGTGGATGAAAGGGAGAGAGAAGGGGGGGAAGATTACTTCGTCCCACGTGGTCGCCCTTCCGATGGCACACACCTAACAAAGGCCTAAATGTGGCCTTAAGGTCTAAAAGAGACTGAGTTCGGCCCTACACATCTGTGTCTCTGAGGCGTCTGGATAGCCGCGAGTGTATAGATCTCTGTGCGTAATGGCGCGGTGGTGGAGTTGGTCTCCAGATGTACGTTTACACAGGAATATGTGTGTATGTGTGTGCGTAGAAGGGGAAATAAAAGAGAATAAAAGAGAAATGCGTGCCTGAAGAGGCCGGATCACAGTCCGACTCCCGCGCCACAACTCGGAGTAATTCCCTTCATTCACAGAAACAAACCAATAGCCGAATTCAGGTTAATACAGCTTACACTGGCCTTTCTGATCAGAAGAGTAATACCCGGTTATAACGCTGTTACGCTAAACACATATAGGACGCAGCGGTCCGAAACAACAAGAGTTTTAAACAGTTAAAACTCAGGACGCAGGTCCAACAAAGATAAAAATTACAGTTTCTGCTTTGATCAACAATTGTTAAAAACACTCTCTAAAGCTAATTCTGCCCAGACCTAATTAAGCCTCACTTGTGAATCGCTTTGTCCGCGATTGGTGAAAGGAAAAGAGTCCGGCGATGGAGCAGATCTTCTGTCCGTCCTGGTGCAGAGGCGTCTGATGGCGGCGAGGGTCCCTTACGGCGAGAGCGGCTTCGTTGGTTCTCCGTCGAGTGGAAAGATGTCCTTTGATGTCCTTTCGTTGCAGGACGGAATAAGACCGTTATCTTTCTGATAATCTGTTATAGTCTGACGCTCTCCGAGAAACTGAGATGCGTTCACTGGACAATCCGAGCTCGGAATTTAGAACACTGCCGGCGCGGATTACCTGCGCGCCAAAACTTAAAACAAAGGAAGATTGTTGCAGGAAACAGGAGATCTTCTTGGGTCTCCGAGCACCGAAGGTCAGCGCGTGAAAGAGAGCGAGCAATGGAAGTCTTGGAGTTTTGTAGCCTGGCCTGCTCCATGGGGGTCTACCTCAGGTCCCCTCCAATGAGGAGAGAGAGTTCCGGTCCCCCCTTTACTTCACACGTAGGTGTGAAGTACCGCAGGGGATTCTGGGATTAAGAGTCCTTTTAGGCCTCTTTGTGATCTCAGTGAATAACTCAAATGAGGCTTTTACAGAGGTGCAGGCCCAAGTCCACTGCCTGACTGTTCTAAGCCTGCGTGGCCCAACAATACAGAATAAGAAGATATTACAATATATAAAATAGAATTTAAAAATGTAAAATATTAAATATAAAAAACACAAAAGGTGTAATGTAGAAGCTGTGCAGTGGACTATGAGAACGTCTTGTGCATTCAAATGATCCATAAACATTTTTAATGTAAATATTGAATCACTGAATTTAGACAAACTATTGCATCCTGACTCCAATTTTAACACGAAGAGCATGAAGTAACACTGCTTTCGATTCCACTGTATGTCTGGCATATTTTGAAATTGAAAATAAAGTTGACTTTGACTTTGACTTGACTTTTTATCTGCAATAACCTGCATGTTTTTTGTTTTTTTTAAAGATTTATTTTGGGCTTTTCGTGCCTTTAATGCAGAGAGAGGACAGTGGATAGAGTCTGAAACCAGAGAGAGAGAGGACAGTGGATAGAGTCAGAAACCAGAGAGAGAGAGGACAGTGGATAGAGTCTGAAACCAGAGAGAGAGAGGACAGTGGATAGAGTCTGAAACCAGAGAGAGAGAGAGGACAGTGGATAGAGTCTGAAACCAGAGAGAGAGAGGACAGTGGATAGAGTCAGAAACTAGAGAGAGAGAGAGGACAGTGGATAGAGTCTGAAACCAGAGAGAGAGAGGACAGTGGATAGAGTCTGAAACCAGAGAGAGAGAGGACAGTGGATAGAGTCTGAAACCAGGGAGAGAGAGGACAGTGGATAGAGTCTGAAACCAGGGAGAGAGAGCGGGGAATGACATGCGGAGGGGGGCCACGGGTGGAGGCAAGCCCGGGCCTACCACTCGAGACGAGAGTCTCAATACATGGGACGCGCGCCCTACCACTGCACCACCAGCACGCCCCGATAACTTGCATGTTTTAAACTAAGATTTACAACATGGCAAGAGACCACAAAGGGGTCAGAGTGATCACATCTGTAACTGAAATGAAGTGACATGTTTAAATGTGTACAGCAGAAAAAGGATGTCTGTGTTTAGAACCACATCAATTAATTCTGAAACAAAGCAGCAGAAAGAAAAAAACTAATTTACTCACAGGCTTAGAAAGAGAACGTTTTACTCACCTACAGAGGCATGTGGCTGAAATGATGCAACACAGTACCACTCCGATCCCAGCTGTGAGTATGTATAGGAAATACCCCGATGACTTCTCCTCTGTGTAAAATCAAATGTGAATGACTTTATGTTGCAGGTCATCAGAGCTTACACATTCATTATGACTTTTATTTAAGTGAGGAGACCAGCTTTGAGCTCTACTTACCTTCAGGTTTGTCAGACACGGTTAAATTCCACCGATAAGTCGTTGAACCTGAAGATTCAGTTAAATTACATGTATATAGTCCTTCATCATCTTCCTGAGCATTAGAAATAATCAGCTTTGAGGATAGATCTATTGTCAGTCTGTCAGAGGGGAAATTTGAAACAGTCACATTTCCTTTCATTAAATGAGAAAAAGAAAATCTGCCTTTGCTCCAGTTGATTTGTTTTGTATTTTCTCTTGATGTGTTGCAAGTAAAAATGACAGAGCCTCCTCTGGACACCTCTTCATTCTTGTGGTTGCCTTCTTGATCTGCTTAAATCAAAGAATGAAAAAACAATTAATACATATGCAACAGATACAAAACTTAGCCTTGAGAAAAGCATGCATTGCAAAAAACACAAAAGTTGTACTCTACCTGCAAAGACCCCGTGCATAAATAATAAAGAGAGCAGAGCTGCTTGGTTTGGATGAAACATGATGACCATCAAACAGACTGAGAGTTTATTGTTCAGTGTTGGAGTATAACTGTGAAGGAGAGTCAGAGAAGAGGAAGTGGTTGGCAACTACAGTTACGTTCCTTTTACTCAAACACCATAACATGGTGTGCGTATAGCTGAACTCTAAAATGGTAACACACGTAGAGTATATTACTTCCCACATCATTTTTAGAGTCATATATACACATGGAATATATAGCCTAGTTTATATACATGTGCAGTTATGCATGTTTTTTAAAGTCACACTTATACCATCATCTAAATTCAGTTCTAGAATACACTTCCTCTAAATTACATGAATATGTCATTTCTGGTTTCTCACATTAAAAAAAAATAACTTGAACTATCTAATGTTGCACTGTCATTGTTTAATCTGTGTTTGATGAGTCACTGAGTTAAACAGCAGGGAAAGAAACTCACCAAGATGCCTGATCATTAGAAATACAAATCTGTACCACTCCAACTTTTGACAAACTAAAGACACAAATGTAGTGATGTCATCTGTCCACATAAGGTGTTTATTTTACACCATCAAACATTTTATTGTGTTTTCAGTGTTGGGATAGAGACCTCCAGTTCAAGTCTGCTTAAAGCCTTAATTTGTGATTTTTCACACTTAAATGTAGAAATCAAGTATCTCCTCTGAAAATAACTCTGTGAGTCATGACTGTCTACAATGGGTGTAACACCCGAGTCCCACTGTCTGTGATGTTTTCAGAGTTTTCAGAGTCCTATCTTCACTTTGTTTACATCGCCCGGACGGCCGGCTGACTCCTCCCCTCGTGTATAAAAGTTGTTTAATTGAGGACTAGAGAAAAGAAGAATAACATACTGTACTCACTGCTTAACTGTGTTTCTAGATCACGCTCATTCAGGTAAATTTACATGCAGTGTGAAGATACCAGCATAATAAAGATCGCTAGCATTAGCATGCTAACACAACAATGCAGCGCGAGTTGTTTTGGTTTCATGCTGGTGCTCAAGGGCGAACCTGCTGGATCAAAAAAATCACATATAAAGCCTTTAATGTCATATATAGGCTGTTTTTGCTTACCATGTTTTTACTGATTGGTGGTATATTTGTCTCGTTTTCTTGCTTTTATTTGCTTTCTTCTTTCTGATTGGTTACTTTATCTTGTTTTTTTTTACTCAGGATTATCTTCTTAGTAATGAGCACTGTTGTCACTTTTGTCATGCTTTGTCCTGTTCTGTGTTGTTGATTGTGTGTAAAATGAGGCCACTCACTCACTTTAAACCAAATCTACTTTTGGGTTTAAATACAGTTACCTTACCTTACATCAGTTCCATTTCAGGTGCTACATAAGTTGATGTGTTGATGTTTGTGCTAATAAAAATGTGCAGTTGACTAAATATTTATGTTTTGTTGGTTTATTTTATTTTCTGTAACAATTCTTAAGTTAACTTCTTCTTTCATTTATTACTTCACATATTTTTTTAAGTAACTTAGGTCAGATTCATCTGGTAATATGTCTGTGTTTCTGCAGGATGATATTACCCTTATCGATTATCTCCACAAAACACATAAATAGCCTCTAGCACAAATGGTTCTCAACTGGTGGGCAGGATCCAAAAGTGGGTCGCAAAGTTTGTTTTTCACAGTTTCTTTGTTCTAACACACTTTGTAACGTCTCGACCAGAACCACTGCTCTAGCACACTAAGTCGGCTCATTTCCTTATGTCTGCACAAAACCAGCGAGGTGTCCACATACTCAACTGATTGAGAAGAACAGAGAGGAAACTCACACTTTTAAAGTAGCAAAGGAGGAAATGGGGGGGGGGGGGGGTAAAGAGTAACGAGTAAGAACTGAGAGGCCTTCAATAGTGAGGAAGTGTTTCAGTTGACCAGCAGAGGAGGCTGCAGCCAGTTGCCTTCTTTTATACTCTCTCCTCCATCCTAGAACAGCAGATCAGTTGATATCTCACTTTTCAAATAAACAAGAATTTTATCAAACAGACCATCGGGTCAATAAAATCATAGTAAAAGTCACATTTCTTTATATATCTGGTTTCATGTCAGAAGGGATCTTTGTAGTCCTAATGGTTCCAGAAATGGTTGGTCCATGCCTTTCTGTCAGCTGGTACAAACAAGCGGGGAACAATCTACTACACTCTAAAGCTTCCTCTATTTAATGTACAGTATGTTTTCATGTTTTTTATTATAATATTTGCCAAAAAATGTGTCCATAAAATCTGGTCAGGTTTAAAAAACACATCAGAGGAGCGTCCAGACCAGAAGAGTGGAAAGAGATTCATAAAAACTTTACTAAGGAGGTCAAGGTATTAGCATGTTGGACATATTGTGGACAGTCTGCTTGAGTACTGTTTGTGTGTAAGAAAGCTTTCGATCATCTACACACATACAGGGAAGGATTTCTTTGATTGACTGGACCTGGAAGGTGATTTATCTCATCTATGTCTATATATCTATGTCATTTTTAAGATTTCTCTCTATTCTTTTGTCAGATTGCAGAGCTGTGCGTAAACTGTAGTCAATGCAAAGAACACAAGCTGACTGCTGAAATATCCTTCACTAATACTTTACTGTATATCAGAATCAGAATCAGGAATACTTTATTAATCCAGGGGAAATGTGTTTGCTACAGTTGCTCATAACACCAAGAATCAGTAGGAAGTACAGATAAGTTCACAATATGAAATAAAATAAAAATAGTATAACAATATAATAAGTGAAGTACCAAGTGAAAGCAATAATAAAGTAGTATAAGTAATAAGCATGTTCAAGCACAGGTCATTGAGAATATAAACAATATTTACAAGAATGAATACACACTGATGGATTAACAGCGTACATATTGCACGGTTCATGTATAGATTGCTCTTTTGATGTATTAATATTGTCCAGTTTTCAACAGATTGCACAGTTTTAGTAGAGAAATAGTCAAGGTAACGCTGCCAGTTTTTTAAATGAAGTGCTGCTGCTGTCAGGACGACTTGTGACCTGTGATTCACAGTATTTGTATGAACAGTATAATTTTATGGGTGAGAACAAAGAGCTAGCTCATCTTCACCTTTACCTCTCTCTCTACTCTCTTTTAAAATCCTGCTGTAACAGGGCCATCTTGACTGACCTTCTTTGGGGGAAACATGTTGAAACAAATTGTGTTCCAAGATTGACTTAAATGGAGAAAATGAGGGTGGTGCAGTGGTTGGTGCTTGGCCCATGTGTGTGGGGGGCTGTGATCCTCAGGGTGGGCAGCCACAAGTTTGGGTCCGACCTCTGGCTCCTTTTTCCACTTGTTGACCCATACCCCACTCTCTCTCTCACCCAAGTTTCTGACTCTGTCTACTGTCTTAAATCTCCACAATAAAGCACAGAAAGCCTAAAAATAAATCTTAAAAGGAAAACTAAACAAAATGCCTTTCAGTCAAGAAAACTTAACACAAAAGACCGACTAGACTAGATGTTAAAAATGTTTTTTAAAAATGTTTTGCTGCCCCTCCACATGCAGCTAGTGCCCACTTTTATATTTGTACCGCGGCCCCCTCATACAGCCTGAGTCCGCCCTCTGCATGTAGAAAACAGGAAGTCATCAAATGATGTATTTTGAAGTTTGAATAAACTGTTCTGCAACTCTAACTCTCTCTCTGCTCTCACCTGAAGGAGCAGAAAATAAACCCTGATCTTGTTAAAGTGTTATTGTTGACTAAGTCTGCAGAGAAAACAGGACGCGTGTCTCGTGTGTGTTTGTGGTTTTTGGTGGTTCAAGTGTGAATGCACAGACGGAAGGCTTTTTATTTTCTTTTGTCCAAGTGCCAGATTAACGAGTGAGGCCTTTAGTAATGAGCAGTTAGTAGACGCTCTTGGCCTTATAAGCCAGAGACCAGGTGAGAAGAGGAAAAGAGAACAACGCTTTTTAAACAACAACAACAAATCCCTTTAGCATCAGCTCATTGTTTTTCTTTAATGTAAGAAAAGCTCCCAAAAGCATCTTAGCACAGCTTTAGCGGAGCTAATTAGCTGTTCTGTTCGCATTGTGGCATCTCCTCTTTCTTCTCCTCTATTCTTGCGACGGGGACTTTGTAAGTGTGGAGCGATAGTGTGATCATTACAGTGAAACTAGAGCTCATAAGCCTGATCATGTTATGAAAGTCTACGGGCCTTCCTACCACACCTACTACAGGCAGTCATAAAGCTGTGAAGCTTAACCGCACACTTTCAAACACATACATACTTTACCACAACGCATAAACACACACAATGCACTTGTTGAAGACACTAAGAGCCCTTCAGGTGCCTTTGAAACACACTTCTTCTGCTTCTGCACGCCTCAGAGAAAGAGAGATGATAGAAAAATCCTGATTAAAGAAAAGTCCAGCAGCAGAGAGGAAAACTAATTGAATGTGTTATGCTACGTTTGTGTGTGTGGCCTCCAAGTGTGTGTGTGTGTGTGT